GGGGGTAATTGGTAAATAATGTAGTCAGATAACCAAGGAAAACAAATGTTTAGGGCAGAAGTGATGTTATGTCTCACATGTGCTTCAGAATAGATGGGCTCGGGGGGCGCTGGGTGCGAACTCAAGTGGCCGGAGGTAAAGAGCACAGAGGGGCCCTGGCCCGTGTGTCTCAGTGGTTAGAGCGTCGGTCCTCGCACCAGAGGGTCACAGGTTTGACTCCGGGTCAAAGGCATGTACCTGGGTTGCAGGTTCGATCCCCGGCCTATTTGGGGGGGGCATGTGGGAGGCAACCAGTCGATGTGTCTCTCTCATGTCAATGCTCCTCTCTCCTCCCTCCCTCCCTCCCACTCTCTCTAAAAATTAATGGAAAAAGTATCCTTGGGTTAGGAGTAACAACAACAAAATAAATGCAGGTGGTTCCCTGGACTGGCCTCTGCTTTTCAGTATGTTTGGAATTTTCAGTAAGTTTTCAAACGTGAACGGTGAACAGAAAATCAGTTTCGTCCCTTTGAATTAAAACATCAAATGAGCCAGTTCTATAAACGATTTTTGAAAGGTACCTATATGTGTCATTACCTTATAGTCTTCCACTTCTTCTTAATATATAAAATGAAACTTTCATGATCATTTCCAGAGTGTAAAATATTCTTTTCCACTGCAGAGGGAGAGAGACTCGATGCCAAAATGAAACGACTGGAGTCGAAGTACGCCCCCCTGCACCTGGTCCCTCTCATCGAAAGACTGGGGACCCCTCAGGTAACCACGCTGGGTTGGCTGTCGCTGTGGTCGCTGGGTGTCCCCATCAGCCACGGGCGAGGCTGGGCTGGGTGCGAGGCTCCGGGTGAGGCCCAGACCAGGGGCATCGGGAAGTTGGGGTCCACGCTGGCCCTTGTCTCCAGTGGGGTTGTAACGGGACCTCGTCACAGGGTGGTTGGCAGTTTGAATGAGCTACGCCATGTGGACAGTGCTTAGAACACCTGTGGCGTGTGAGACATAAGCAACAGTGTCCTTTGTTCTTGTCTGTCCCTTCGAGAAGGCGCCTTTGTCACAGGTTTTTCAGAACAGGATGGGGGGTCTCAGGGTGGAGCTTCAAGTTCTCAGTCTTGGTAGCGTCACCACTTTGGACCAGATGATTTCTGTGGTGGAGGCTTTGCCAAGACTTGTAGGATGTAAAACAGTATCCCTGGCCCCTGCCCTTCGGATACCACTAGACCCACCCTGGGCTGTGACAACCAAAATTGTCTCCACACATTGCCAAGGGTCCTGGTGGCAAAGCCACTCCCGTTCAGAACAGCTGTGCTTGGCAGTTGTCCTTGGCCGTGAACTCTGTTTAATCTTGTAAGACCTGCAGGTAATAGCTGGCATATTTATTTTGCTGATGCTCCTGAAAATTCTCTTCTGCGGCTAAGGTCATTTTCCAGTGAGTCAGAAACAAAACCAGGGTGGTTGGTTTGAGCACCGTGGACTCCGGCGTGGCCCCGTGACACTCTGTCCTTCCTGCAGCAAATCGCCATAGCGAGAGAGGGGGACTTGCTGACCAAGGAGCGCCTCTGCTGCGGCCTGTCCATGTTCGAGGTCATCCTGACGCGAATCCGGACCTTCCTGGATGACCCCATCTGGCGCGGGCCCCTGCCCAGCAACGGAGTCATGCACGTGGACGAGTGTGTCGAGTTCCACAGGCTGTGGAGCGCCATGCAGTTTGTCTACTGCATCCCCGTGGGGACACACGAGTTCACGGTCGAGTAAGTGTGCTCCGTGGTCGGGGAGGCGGGCGATGGCGTTTGGTTAAAGGACTGGGGCCCTGGCGGGTGTGGCTCGGTTGGTTGGGCGTTGTCCTGGGCACAAAAGGGTTGCTGGCTTGATTCCTGGTCAGGGCACATGCCAGGGTTGCAGGTTCGATCCCCAGTGGGGGGTGCAGGAGGAAGCAGATCAATGTCTTGCTCTCATATCAATGTTTCTCTCTCTTCCTCTCCCTTCCGCGCTCTCTAAAAATCTAAAAAAAAAATAAGACAAGACTGGAAATGTGCTGAGCTGCTTTAAAGCTACTTAAGTGGAGGTTCTCACTTGATGCGCAGGAGGTGTCGGGGCCGGGCTTCTGGGAGTCACCCCTGGAAACAGGCACGTCTCTGTGCATTTTTCTAGATAGATCCACAGCTTCATGGAGTCCTTCATGGTCCATGATGTAAAACCAGGTCAGGAAACGGGGTGCCAGAGGAACCCAAAAGGGGTGTTCACCAAAAATGCACATGGCACTGGGGCCCAGGTTCCCAGCAGAGGGCTCGGTCGGTGACGCGGCTGGTGAGTGACCCGCCTTGGTGGCCCATTCTCTCGGCCTCTCGCAGGCAGTGTTTCGGCGACGGGCTGCACTGGGCCGGCTGCATGATCATCGCCCTCCTGGGGCAGCAGCGGCGCTTCGCCGTCCTGGATTTCTGCTACCACCTGCTCAAAGTCCAGAAACACGACGGCAAAGACGAGATTATCAAAAACGTGGTATGTGGAAGAAAGTGCGCTGTCCTGCGGGAAGTTTCACACAAAGCGTGCTTTCTGCGTATTACTTCTTTCTCTGGGGGTGTTTTTCATCCCGGCACCTATGGCGCCACCTACTGGAGCTTTCTTTTCGTTCCCAAAATGCTTCTAAGTGTAAAGGGTAAGCAGCGGCCTGGCGGCCGGCGCAGCAGGGTAACTCTCCCCGAGGCGCTTCAGTCCATCTCACAACATGGACCCTCGCAGCCTCCACGCTCGGAATGTTCCTTTGTGGTGGTCAAACTGTGATTTTCGGCTGCTCTTTAGATCTTTGTGTGTTTGTCAGTTTGCGGGTTCTCTGTCATTGAGTTCTAGAGAATGCCCAGCCCTTATCTTTTAAAGCGTCTTAGCCTCCTGACGCGCTCTCTGTTCCCTTCCTCTGGGCCTTCACGTGGACGTGTTACACCCTCGACTCTGGTCTCCTCGCCTTCCCCCCGTTACGTTAGTTTCTATTGCTGCTGGAACCAGTTGCCAGACTCGGTGGTTTAAAACCACACAGTTCTCGGGGCCAGGAGTCTGGGGACAGCACGGCTCCGCTGGGTCCCGTTTAGTCTCACAGGCCAAAGTCAGTGTGTGTGGGGGGGCTGTGCTCCCTTCTGGGGCCTCTGGAGACGAGCCTGCTTCCCGGCTTCTACAGGGGGTTGGCTGTGCTCACTCAGTCCCTCATGTCGGACTGAGGCCCCGCTTCCTTGGGGGGCTGGTCCACACCCCTTCTCATGCTGTGCTCGTGATTAGGTCATATCCACCTCGATGATCCAGGGCACTCTCCCTACTTTATTGTTATTTTTAAATTACTCTCCCTATTTTAAAGTCTAGCTTAGCTATAGGGTGTCCTTTATCCGGTTCTGTTGCAGCAGGACCCTCTCGGAGCATCCTGTCCAGTCGCTGGGGTTCTACAACTCGTGTCACCTTAGAGTGCCCCCTTTTCCCCACTGGCCATGTGACTTTGGTCTCTCTGTTCCCAGCTTTGTGGCCTTAGTACCTACCTGTTGAATAGGTCTGCAGGTTGTACAAAGTCTCCAGTTAGTAGCATGAAACAGACAGAGAAATGTGTTCAAATAGAGAATATAGTCATTGTTCCAATAGTTGCATTAGAGAACTGGTATGTGTGTCAATAGTTTGCTATAATTTTGGGGGGGAAATATGACAGTCCTGACATTTTGAAACGTAAAGAACAAAGGAGTACGTTTTAAGAGTAAAACATCTCGTTTTAACTGCTGCAGCCTTTGAAGAAGATGGTGGAGAGAATTCGCAAGTTCCAGATCCTAAATGACGAGATCATCACCATCCTGGACAAGTACCTGAAGTCGGGCGACGGGGAGAGCACGCCCGTGGAGCACGTCCGCTGCTTCCAGCCCCCCATCCACCAGTCCCTGGCCAGCAGCTGAGGAAAGCAGGCCGCCGGTGTTTGGAGTCCTGGTCCCCACTGCGTTCAGTAACTATAGGGCACGTTTGCGTCTCATAAACTAGGGATTTTTAGGGGCTAGTCAGTGTCTATGTACCTGCTAAAGGGGTGCTTTTCAGTCCGCAGGCCTAATTTTATAAAATTGACTTATTTTTCTAGACAAATTGTATATGCTTTTGGTAATGAGGAATTCTGAGCCTACCGGCTGCTGTGTCGCCATCCTGTTCCAGTATTTCCCGTCTTTCTATGAATGTCACGAGCACCGCTGAGCTCAGCGAAGCATCGGTGATGTTCAGGGAAAGACTCAGGAACTTAAGCAAGAAACTTAATGCCAGCTCCTGGTAATAAAATCCGTTACCGATTAGAATCGAAGTTTGTGATTACGTAGCTTTTGCATAGGGACTTTTCTACTGGTCTTTTATGACGTCTCAGTCATTGTTCCCTTCCCTTTTTACGTCAAGTCTGTCAGAAAATAGTGACCTTGACTCCTGTTTCTACTAATCCAGCTGTAACAAAACCTAATTTGTGAGGGTTGATTTAAAGGGCATAGAAATAAAACTAACGAAACCCGTTTGCGGCCGTTCCTTTACTGTGACTCCGTGTTCCCTGGCTTGGACAAGGTACGCTCTTTTAAGTTTTTATTGATTTTAGAGAGAGAGGAAGGGACACAGAGAGAAACATTGACCGGCTGCCTCCAGTACACCCCCTACTGGGGACCAAGCCCACTGTCAGGGCATGTGCCCTGACCAGGAATTGAACCGGTGACCTCCAGGTGCACTGGACGACACTCAATCACTGAGCCACACTGGCCAGGGCGCATTTGATGTTTTTAAATTGACTCGTAAGCAAAGTAAAATACTTGGAAAGGAACCAGATTTTACAAACATCTTTAAGTTTGTTCTAAGCATTCAGACTTCAAAAGAACTTTGTTTCAATTTGTTTTATTATAACATGAGCTAAATTTTAAAAATTACCTTAGTCTTCTGACTTTACTTCCCAGAGTTGTTAGAAGATCTAAATGACAATATATATAACTCATTATGAAAATATATTGGAAAGTACAAGAGCGGATGTGAAATGGTCGTCAAGGTCCGGGTACCAAGGGATCAGAGAACTGAAGGACAGAACCGCCAGGCAGCAGGACAGACAAGGACGCGCGGGTCCAGGAGGGCTGTCTCTGTGCTGGGACAAGTCACCGGAGAAGTACTCCGTGGGGTACTTTCCTAGTAACTTAGGATTCTCTTCAACATTTCAAAATTAAGATGACTCATCAAACAAGAGTCATTTTTGTAGGTAAGGGAAAGCACAGGGCAATGTATTGGGATAAGTTCTTTTTTAAATCAAAAAGCCTTAAGGCTCAGGGACTGCGAGTGGGAATGACAAATGGACACGTCGCACTTTCATCACTGATGAAAAAATAAAGCATTTTATAGACTTAAAACTGTCATTAGTGCATTCAGATTCTGTGAAAGAAAAATTTAAATACCACTATAGTAACACAATGTTAACAAAAATTGGCCAGGTACTGAGGTCATTTTAGTGAGCTACCATCATTTAAATATAAGAAAAGTAATTTCTTGGTCCAAATTAGTTAAATCTTAAAAAAAGATTGTCTCTAGAGAACATTGTTTGAGATAATGCTTTTTCAGACATATTCCAACACTCAAATTCACTTTATAACAATAATTACGGGTAAGCTCTGATCACTTTCTTAAAAGGCTGTAAGATTTCCGTTTCTCCGGGAAATGTTCTCCCCCGTGTGCTGCTCAATCCCACAGGTTAAACTTTCTTCACTGTTACTAAGAACTTCGTACATGTCAGTGAGATTGCCGTTCGCTGCTTTCTCATCTTTTCGAAAAGACACGGGAAGACTGGCGAGGCTGAAGCTGACGTCTTTGAAGGCGTGCAGCAGGAAGATGCCCACAATGATGGTGCAGAAGCCGCTCAGGGTGCCGATGATGTCATCGACGGGCATGTCCTGCCACTCCTTGAAGAGGATGGCTGAACAGGTTAGCACAGACGTTGTGAAAGCAACGTAGTAGATGGGGGTCACGAGGGAGGTGTTGAAGATGTCCAGGGCCCTGTTCAGGTAGTTGATCTGCGTGCTCACGCACACGATGAGGCTCAGCAGCAAGGCCCAGGCCAGGGGGTGCTGCAGCACAGGCTTGCCAGCAAACAGCTCCTTGATAGCGATGCCCAAGCCCTTCACACAGGAGACCGAAAACGCTCCGATCACGGAGCAGATTGTGATGTACACGAGGATGTTCGTCTGTCCATGGCGCGGTCCCACCACAAAGATTAGTATCAAGGACACAATGACCACAAGTGTCGCAAAGATCACAAAACCTTGACGAGGCAAAGACAAGATCTGTTTAGTCAAATGTTTCAGGACTGAAAGAGAACTGAGAGTCCTAAACAAAATACTGGGCAGGAAGGAGAGGTGTGGCCCTGTGAGGAAAACAGCTTTCTCTGCTGCCCCAGCAAGAGCACACCCGCAAAGTTTAGGGAGGTACACGCGGGGAAGGTTAAACCACGCACCATATTCACAACTGTGACACGACTAACGTTTTTAAAGTAGCATATTTGGCTTCATGATAATCACAACAAAGAAAACAGAATCAGGCCGACTCACAGCCATCCATTCTGGAGGCACCCCGACTGTCCACCCCCGGGAGTATTAGACTCCAGGGACAGTCCATTGGAAACCAGTGGAGAGAATCATGAGGTTGAGGCAGGATAAGAAGCAGCTAGAAAAACCCCTGGACAAGTGGACTGGGTAAACTGAGACATGAAAATTAAGCACAGCCAAACAATCTGAACAACTTATGCCAGCTAGTAAATCCCAAGACCTTCTCTTCCCCAAACAAAGCCACCTGAGAGCCAATGGTTCATACCTGTCCTCCCTGGCCAGAGAACACACAGCTTAAATCACACTGGCCTGGGGGCCAGAAAACAGAGGCCCAATTAATGCCATCTGTGCCAGCCAAACCCGAAGACAGATGAAGTCGGGAAATAAAATCCAACTAGAGCCAGATAGACCCAAGATAAAAGTAAAACAGTAAAGTAGACCAAAGAATAATCCCAAACTCCCTATAGGCTCATTCTGATGCATCAGCATATTAAAGATTCACCTGGAAAGCTGATGAATATTCTACTGAAACCCTCTCCTCCGATTCCCACCCAGAGAAGAGAGAGAAACCCCTCAACACAGGATACCAGCTCAGGCTTTCTCTATAACTGTTTACTTCCTCCTAAACTCTAAGGGTCCCCACGAGACTTGCAACCAGGGGAGCAGTGGGCAGTGGCAGCTCATCCCAGTCCCCAAGGTCGCCTTTTTGCCCTCCGACTTCCCAAGGGCTCATTGCTTCTAGAATGAAATTCAGCCAGGCCTCCTGGCTTCAGTCCCTGCCCCTACTTCGAGCTACCTACTGCATCACTGCTGGTGTGGGGTTCAGCTTCCTGCGGTCTGCTCTAGGTCACTAGTCATCCTCTGCTTGCTGGCTTCCATAACATCATTGCTGCATTTCCTTCTCTGTCCTTGTTTTTGTGTTTTCCTTCTTTAACAATCCTGTTATATTCGTGTTTGAGGAGTGACCAGAGTGACTGCTGTCCCTGTTTCCTTGTCTGAGAATGCAGATGGTAGCACCTGTGTCGTGGGGCGGCTGTGAGGATTAGATGCAGTCAGGGCAGGTGGCTGGGAGACGCTCCTGAGCCTGACTCTACACAGTTCAGAGTGGGGAAGACTTAAAACTCATTCATGTGACCACCACCTGGGGTTTTCACAGGACTAAGGCAGCATGTGACAGGGCTGCCAAAAAAGCTAAAGGTGTCCCAGGCAGCTTGAGGAGAGGCTTACGGTCTCCCTGTTTGAAGCACCCAGAGCACACCTGGAAGGCTCTGTTCCTGGCACCCTGTCCTACAGACATCACGTGCAGGCTCACAGCCAGTCTGGATAACTGAGAGAGAAACAGTGGATGCTCACTCTGAAAAAAGAGCCCTCAGGAATAAGAGGACAGCCAAAATCAAGCACGTGAATGTGCTGAACGTCATACGTTCATAGTGCCATTGGGCAAACTAGACCTACAGGTGGGATGACAATGCTGACAATGACAGCCATCACTTTATTAGCTCTGTGTCAGGTGCTACACGGGGCATTTTACTGTCAATCTCTTAATATCCATAGTAACTCTGTAGAACAGTATCACCCCTGATGTACAAATGAGGTGAACGCGGCTGATGGAAGGTAAGTAACTTACTCAAGTCAGCAGCAAATCACATAGTTAGGATTCTAACTCAAGTCGCCTGACTCCAAAGCCTGTGTTACTTCCACAGGATCACCTGCAGTGACATGGGACTCAGCCTCAGAGCTTTCTAGTCACCTGAGCGGTCCTGACAAAGGGATGGACAGCCCCATTCCTGAAAACACACAGTGGCAGGAGGACCACTGGTCAGGGGTACTGCCTAGGGGGTTTCAGTCTGGGTGGGAGGTTAGGATCTTTTCAGCAGTCATTTGCTTTGCATTTCTATCCAGGGCGGAGTGGGAACACTACCCGATGGGGCTGGCCCTTGGTGAGTCCTATATGCTCAGTCATGCAGGTGTAAGGATCAGCAAAGTCAACACCAGGAGCTTTTGTTTAGACGCCTGACCAGCCAGACAGCTCATGTGCATCTCGACCGAAACTAGGCTGGCAGGGCTGGGACAGAGCAGGTAAATCATCTTTCTTGAAAACTGCTGATGGTCAGGCAAACTGAGAAATCTAAATGTGAATGGCCTCGACATCCAGACCTCACCACCAACACAGGTCCAGTAAGGTCATTGGACTGGAAGTGAAGAGCCTGGTTCTAGCCCATCCTCTCTCCAGGTAACTGGGTAGCTTGGAGCAATTAACTGAACCCTCGGGTCCTCTCTTTTGTCATCTGGGAAAAAAGATGCCTGCCAACTCTAACATGGGTGCACTTAGGAGCTGCTTGTGACACTTGCTCAATAATCCTGAGTCCTTTACCGGGAAACTAGATTTCCAGCGTGAGAAATCACAGTTACTAGACTTGATTTCTCCCCCTGGCTTCTGGTTCCAGACCACGGTGTACTCTGACTTGACCCTGCCTATTAGTGTCTACATGCAGACAGGAATCGATCCCAAGGTCTCTCCAGCATCCACCTCCAGCCTCGCCTGCTCCAGACCCCCTTCAGCCCTGTGCTCAGCTCACCACAGATTCACCTCCAACCACCTGAGTTCACTTCCTCACATGCCGCCCTGCTCAGTCCTTTAGGGCTCTCACCTCCTTGAGCATATTTCCATTCTTTTGTCGGGCTTACAGACCTTCACAATTGTTTCCAATCCTCTCTCGAATCTGACTTCCCACTTTCTTTAACACACTCTCTTCTCCAATCACCCCCTCTCCTACCTACTGGCTTGAAGTGGTTTTCTAGTTACCCAGAGCCTGCTCCCTCTTCCCTCCGCTATAGGCAACATGCACCTTTTTGTTTGTATGGTTCTTGCAAAATAAATACTATTTTGTGTGCTACAAAACAAAAACTCCCCCAAAACAACCCATCCATACTCAGCACAATGGATAAAAACTGACCCACACCTAGGCACATTCAGTGGGGAATTTCAGACAGTGAGGGCAAGCAGGCCATCCTAGAGGCTCCCAGAGTCAAATGGCCATTTACATATAAACAAAGATAATCAGTTACATGCGTCTAGTTTCTCAGCAACACAGGGTGAGGAGACGAGGCAGGCCAGGGACATTTTGATATGTGCAAGGTTTCCAAAGGTCCCATCTCTTCTGTGCCTCTCGCGCCTCCTATGAAAGTGGCTCCACCAAAATGAAGGCGCTAACCCAGGACTCGGGAGACAAGAAGTCCAGGAAAAGCAAAAAGTGCCGGGGATCCCAGGATGCTGATGAAGGAAAACCCAGGGGACAACTGTGCTGGTGGCCTGGACAGCAGTCTAGTTTGAGGCCAAACAAGGCTCTGGGAGAGCAGTTCACAGGAGCTGAAACTGCAAGAGTAACTCCTGTGTGTGAAATTACTGAGAGCAGAATCAGACATGGGCAAGCACTCAGGCCGGACGGACTCATTTTCACAGAAAACTAAGCAAACGAGATCACTCTCCGTTCAGGAAAAAAGCAAGGAAGGAGAAGTCAGACCAAAGGGATCGGTTGCCAGAGGGGAGGGGCGGGAAGATGGGTGAAACAGTGAAGGGAACAGTCAGTCGCAGTGTGATAAGGCTTAGCATGGCAGTGAGATAAAGCTTGCTCTGGCAGTCACACCATAAGGTATGGAAATGTCAGACCACGATATTGTGCACATGAAACTAATAGAATATTTTACTTAAGTATGAAAAACAAGGGAAAGTTATGTACAGATAATGTAAACAAGTCATTTAAACAAAACTAGATACAAAAGGTAAGAGATGTAACACATAATTCCTAGACCAAGGAAGTAGCAGTGATATAAGCGTGTCACAGACAGAGTGACAGAGAAACAAGGGTGAGCGCCGGCTGGGGAGGAAGGTGACTGTTGTTTCACAATAAGCTACACAGCAATCCGGCTCTTTGTATGCACAAAAATTTTGATTAATATAAAAAGCTAAATTAAAAAGTAAAAATACAGCAAGACAAATAAGCTTTCTTTTCCTTACCTGGATCCCCGAGTTTGTGAGACATCTCACGTAAGGTCTCAATCTCCTCCTCCTTCGGAGCATGGATGACCATGACCGTGGAGCCTAGGATGCTCAGCAAACACCCTATTTTCCCATGAAGGTTCAGTCTTTCATTGAGAAAGTATGAAGAAAGAATGGCACTAAAATAGGGGGAATGTGGTAAGATTAAAATAATCAGCTACTTCTCTCATTTTTAAATATCAATACAATTCAGATTTTGAATAACTGACCTCAAACTAAAACACTGTGAGTTTATAAAGATTCTGGCTTTCGGCCAAGATACAGACAGTGTCTTCAATTGTGCCAGGAAAGCTCCTAGGGAAACGGCTGCTTCACCACAAACTACACCAGCACAGCTACCAGCTCTACTGCAGGAGCTCAGCATGAAACTTACCATACATGCAGTTACCTACAATTTATACCCTAATTAGGAATCCAAGTCCAAACCAATGTTTAAAGTTTACTCGGCTTCGCCTGGCCATGTGGCTCAGCAGTTAAGCACTGACCTAGGATCCAGGAGATCACAGCTCGATTCCCGGTCAGAGCACATGCCTGGGGTGCGGGCTCAATCCCCAGTTGGGGGGCATGAGGCAGCCAGTCAATGAGTCTCATCACTGATGTTTCTCTCTCTCCCTTCCTCTCTCTGAAATCAATAAAGACATATAAAAAAAAATTAAAAAGTACTCAGCTTAAACCTATCCTAACTGCTGACGCATCTGACATTCATTTAACTCTATATAACCTGCGTATTGTCAAGTTTCAACACTTTATCCAAATATAAAAAATACTGTGTAAACCTATAAATACAAAAATTCTATCATATACAGGAAAACAAGGATAAAAGACATACACCACCTTTAAAAGTCATGTAATTTACAGTGCAATGTTTATATATGTGCACGCGCGCATACACACACAATACTGACCGGGAAAGGACCGACCGCTGCTTCCAAACAAGTACACCAGGCTGGTCTCCAGGGGTACGTAACCTGCCCAGCCAGGTACAAAATCTAATTACCACCAACGACCACCTACCAAGCGCGCCTGTACCAAATGATACACGTTGTGACAAGTGCAACTGGAAGTTGTGAAAAGCTGAAACAAAGTAACTGGTGCTGGCTCTGAACACAAGCGAGACAAAGCACAAAGGCATCTGATACCACAAATTGACAGGCTGTCTGTACACAGAAGATGCCCTTTTAAAAGCAAATGAAGACCCAGAATTTAAACAGCTCCCAAGCTTGTTTAAATGTAAATGACACTGAACGTGTGTGACTGGATGTGATTGGATGGTACCGAGCAGGTTCTATGCTCCCGGCGCAGTGTCCTTACCTGACAAGGACGCTGAGCGCTCCTAAGGGGGTCACGAGGGTGGCTGGGGCAAAGGCATAAGCAGCAAAGTTGGCCACCTCACCGGCTCCCACTGGAAGATGAACAAAAGAAAACTCTCAGATAGGAACATATCTACTCAAAATGTAAGTACTTGCAACTTACATATATATTTTTGTATACTACTTCGACTGTATATTGTAACTTCCATATTTCCTCCCATCTATTATAAGGGTTCTCCTATAAATTATCAACATTAGAATAGAGCCCAAACCAATGAGAAAAAATACAAATCTATTTTAACGGAAAAGACCTAATTTATGCTTACATGCTTTTATTAATAAACAAGTTTAATAAATATTTATATCCTATGACAACAAACAGAAATCAATTAAAAGCTGCTGAAACTGGTGTGAAAATATTGCACAAATAATTTCCACTGGCACAACCTTGGCGTAGGGGCAAAGTTAGGCAACGCTCTAACCCACTGAGTCGCCTGGCTAGGGCCCTTCCCTTTTTCTTTTCAGTTTCTTTTTTTTTTTTAATTTTAAAATTATCTTTACTGTGGACAGCATTACAGATGTCAGCCTTTTTCCCCCAGTGGCCCCTTGCCCCGCTCCCACCCCACCCCAGGCCTTCCCCACACTACCACCCAAGTCCTGGGTTTTGCACACGTGCCTGTAAGTTCTTTGGTTAACCTCTTCCCTCCTTGTTCAGTTTCAACGTAAGGTTTCTGAATTCCATTGTTCTGCTCAGAGACACCTCCTGGAACACTGGCTGTAATTACCTTTTCTTTCTACTTACGTCATTTTACTGCCTTATTCACAAGCTTCCTCCTATATTTGGGGCTTATTTTGCATCTTCTTTTCTCTTGGACTAGATGACTCATCTTTCTTACTTTCAATTATATTTATATGAAACCCTAAATTTTACTCTAATTACTTCAGTTACATTCCAGTTTCATTTTGTATTTAGTATCAACATATTATTTCCTAATTTAAACTTCTAAAAATATTTTCTAATTTCCAGTCTGCCTTCTGTAAACCAGGGATTACATAAAAGTAAATTTCCACCCAAGATTTTCATGTTATATTTTTGTTATTGAGTTCTGATGTAATTACAATGATTTGTGAAAATACTCCATTAAGTCCTTTGAAAAATTCAGACTGGCTTTAGGGTCCAGCAAATAATCGATTTGTATAAATATTCCATACGTATCCAAAAAAAATATAGATCTGAAGTTACTGAGTTTAGTGACTGTGTCCAGTAAGTAAAGTTTGTTAAATTTGCTGTTCAAATTGTCCGTAGCCTTAAAAATTTTACTCTGGTTGCCCTATCAACTACTGAGGGTGTTTATTAAAATCTCGCTCCAGCCCTGGCTGGGTAGCTCAGTGGGTTAGAGCATCACCCTGATGCACCAAGGCTGCAGGTTTGATCCCCGATCAGGGCACACAGAAGCAGCAGCCAGTAATGCATAAATAAGGGGGACAAGTCGATGTTTACCCCCCTCCTTCCCCCCCCCCAAATCAATAAAAAAAGTAAAAACATCAAAAAAATTAAATAATCTCACTCTATGGCCCGGCCAGGCAGCTCACTTGGTTGAGCGTCATCCCCAACAACAAAAAGGTTGCGGGCTGATTCCCAGTCAGGGCGAACATCTAGGCTGTGGGTTCGATCCCTGGTTGGAGCATGTACGGGAAGCAACATGTTAATGTTTCTCCCCCTCTCCCTTCCTCTCTCTCTCAAATCAATAAAGACATATCCTCAGGCGAGGATTAAAAAACATAAAGATATACTTTAGAAAATGACTTAAAGTTTTAAAACTTGCTAGTAATATGAAACTGTAACCGCATCTGCAAGTATTTCAGTCTACAACGACCGCGCTTTCGTGCAAGTCTCTGTACCTACTTGAGAGCAGTCCGGCCCACCACAGCCACTCCTTCAGGTACGCATGGCCGCCCTGGCCTGTGAACGAGAAAACACACGTCACTTCCTGGAGGGTCATCAGACTCCCACAAATTTATGACAACTACGAGTAACGACAGGTTTAAAATATCTCATTCATGAATTATGATTACTTTGAATAAAGGTTCCATCATGTACAAAGGGATTTCTTAGATAATAGTTTTATGATTATATAACAAAAAGTTAAAAATGTTTAGGTTTGTACTATAATGTTGAGGAAGGAATTAAACCAATCCTTACATTTCTTTCGTTTTGCAAACTCAGCTTTAGTAAACAAAGTAAAGAAAATGAACCAGTAAAAAATAACCCAACTTCAAATGAGTTTGGAATTGGATAAGCCATTTAGGCATGGTCAGCCCACTTCCCGCAGCAACCCTGGAGAACAAGGTCCCCCACACCGCGCACAGACACAAGGGAGACAGCACCGTCACAGTCTGGGCTGCCTGGACAAGCATCCTGCTTTCTTACTTGACCTTCATCCCAACCAAAGTAATAAAGTCACATGAGCGGTACTTATGGTTGCTTGATGAGCTTTAGCCACAGACATGGCTCAGGGAAAAGGGAGGTGGTGCTTTTACTGCCAAAGCAGGTCTAAGAGTCAGAACTGAGCATGGACCTGCCGCGGAGGCCAAGTGGTAGAACATGCAGCACATGTTGGATGCAGCACAACTGGGAACTGTTCAGAGTGCGCCAGAACAGTCAGAGTGTCCCCAGGGTTTCCTGACCTGTCAGCAGGCACTGGGAAACAAACTACACCAGCCTTCGAAAGTTGCCTGAACTGAGGACACTCTGACCCAGAGAAGCCCTTTCATCAGGAAAATGCTGAAAATAGAATCAAATTTCTATCACAGACCAAAGACTCTGGCCTTCAACAAGATTCTCATTCTGTTCAGACCCTTACCTCCTTCTCTGCAGACATAATCAAGGTTTAAAAACAAGGCTGAATGCTCACTGGGCACTGTCCCTCTGCCCAGTTTGATAATGCAGGAGCGAGGAGTTAACTTATTTTGACATCTCACTTATTTTTCTCTTTACAAAACTGGTGTTTGATTCTCTCTAATAGTTTACAACTCTTGCAGTCTACAGTTTTGAACACGCTCACTAGGAAGGAAGATGAAGTCTTCTGCAGGCCAGGCACCTGTGTACAGACGCAAGCACACACTGTGTCACTTCAAAGGCACACGGGCACCCACCTGCTCGCATGGAGCCTTTCCGGGCAAGTCGCAGAAGGCCTTTCTTTTTCAAGATGAAACTCCCTCCGATGAAAATGCTGGAGCTCATAGCCAAGCCCAGACCAATATAGAAGTCATATTTTCCACGCCCAGGGCTCATTTCGTTTGCTACTGAAGGAGTGCCTGTGACTCACATTGATCACAGGACAGAGAATTGCTGATGCTGGAGGCGAGAGGCTGTGGACTTCAGACCTGCACGAGACAAAGAAAACGAGATCCTCAGGGAGCGACCAAGACAGTGCACGTGCAGTCCAAACTGGACCGCACTTCCCTCCTCCTGCAGGGAGGTGTTTTCTCTATCGCCACCATTGAAAAGAAATGTATTTGGTATTTATATTGAGCACTAACCTAATTACATTTCTTCCAATTATGGCAAACGATGGTCTCATGACATAAAACTGTATTTAAAACCCAAACTCACAGGGCCAGAGAACAAAGTGGTGGTTACCAGTGGTGGTTAGGGGCTGGGGAAACAGGGGAAGGGGGTTGAAAGGTACAAACTCCCAGTTATAACTAAGTCCTAGGGATGATGTACAGCATGGTGACTATAGTTAACAATACTATACTGTATATTTGAAAGTTTCTAAGAGTAGATCTTAGAAATTCTCATCACAAGAAAGAAAATGTGTGACTATGTGAGGTGAGGGAGGGGTGTTAACTTACTATGTTCATCATTTCACAACATATGCATACAAAATCATTATGCTGTACACGAATTAGACAAATACATTATGATATCTCAAAACCAATCTAAACTGATTTTATAAACTCTGGTTTCATATTTTTAAAATGTTTCCAGTCTCAACTGATAGTCCATAGTGACAAAACTTTGCTTATAGGAAAAAAATTCTAGCCCGGCCGGCTTGGCTCAGCAGTTGAGCATCGACCTATGATACAGGAGATTGCAGTTCAATTCCCAGTCAGGGCACATGCTGGGGTTGTGGGCTCGATCCCCAGCAGGGGACGGGGCGTGCAGGAGGCAGCTGATCAATGACTCTCATCATTGATGTTTCTCTCTCTCCCTCTCCCTTCCCCTCTCTGAAGTAAAAAAATACATATATTTTAAAAAGCTTAAATCACAACCACACATTTTAATTAAAAAAAAAAAATTTACAGAATGAAAATCAGACATAGATACACAAATCTAGTTTATGAACACATTTTCTAATTTCACAAACATGTCCTCTGGAATAATCTATGTAGAGAAACACAAAATTTTCTCACCATACATTTCCTTCTTAGAAATCTATGTAGTTATAAGCATATGGTAATTTATCTCTTATTTAGCCTATTTGGAGGGGGGCAGGGAAAAGGCAGGTTTCACATTATTTTGTTAGCAGAGGATGATGGCTCCAGCAGACAGGTGTTTGCCAGGCTGCAGGTGTGGTCCTGGTGGACTTGTCAGAGAGCACGAAGGCCATGGGACCTAGAGGGCTCAAGCCACAAGGCCAGACAGGAAGCAGAGGCTTATGAAGACTGCAATTTTTTTCCCAAATGGCCAACTCATGAACTCTGCTAACAAATGAACTAAAGCAAAGTGTAGAAAGTAGGGAAAAACATTATTCAGCAACAAGGTTTATGACTGGTTATAACTGCGACCTAACCTTCTGGTATTTGAGATTTTAAGTTCCACTAAACAATCAACTCCCAGCACTAATCGGCAGTTCAGAGAGAACCCTAACTCAGGAACCCTTTCTGACTAGCCAAGTCTTTCAATTTCTAGGTTACGAGACCCTGGCCTTTAACAAAAGCAACTCTCTGAATCCACCTGGCCCCTCCCTTACTTCATCCACCCACTCAAACGGCACTCACTGAACACGGGCTGTGCACACTACGCTCTCTCTGGATAAAAGGGCCACAGCTTTCAGGCTTCAGTGGGGAGACAGGCAAGAGACAGTTAAAGGATACTGTTCTGTAACCACGGTAAACAGTATTATCACAGAGCTGACACTCCAGACAGAAGAAAGGGCCAATGTTTTGATTTGCCTGTTCAGGTGCATTATGGTTCTTCAAATAGCTCTGTGGGAAGGAGTTTTCCCCACCCTGCTGTGTGGGGCTTGGGTGTGGGGCCAGGGAGGAGGGTGTGAATGACAGAATGTCAATTCTACCTCTAGACCTAGAGAGGACCGTCACACTTCTGCTTGCCTCTTGCATCCTGCCATCGCCATCTGAAGAGCAAAACAAAGTCATCCTTACTGACCACAGACCTGCAAGCCTGATCTTAAATGCTTATTGCTATACATCACGAGACAGTAACTTACACACCCTACAGGCTTACTGCAGGTAAACATAAAGCTCCCATTAGATTTCTGAAAAAACAAAACTTGCCTGCAGAAAATGGAGATCACTGTTAAAGATGGATGCCAGGCACTGATCCACTGTATCGTCCTACATTTCCATGTTAGGTTTTTAAAACACACCTGCAGTGCACAAGAGCTGCAGGGATGCCAGGCCTTTTCTGACTGGTCAATTTTTTTTATTTAAATATATCTTTATCGATTTCAGAGAGAAGAAAGGAGAGGGAGAGACAGAGATAGAAACATCAATGATGAGAGAGTCATTGATTGGTTGCCTCCTGCATGCCCCCGACTGGGGATCGAGCCTGCAACACCAGCATGTGCCCTGACTGGGAACTGAACCCCGATCGCCTGGATCCTAGGTCAATGCTCAACCACTGATCCACGCCCAGCCGGGCGGTGGGGTCAGTCTTATGCACATGGCTTTGGAGAGCTGCACCCCTCCTGCCCACTTCATTCCCCAACCTAGGATCGTGGCTCTCTTGAGGCCAGTGTCCTCACTGTCCAGATACCTGTTTCTACCCCGACAGTAGAAACCTCGAGCAAGTCGCAAAACCAAGGTCACTCCACAATCTAGGACAAACTAAGACTGAAACATGGGAAGATGAGACACTCAAGTCTCAGAGGTGCTCCGAGTTTTGTAAATATCAGTCAAAAACAACACAGATGAGATTAGCTGTCTACGTGACATCTTTCCAGAACTGAGCTCTCACGAGGGATTTGGAAAAGCATCCCCAGTCCTGCTAATGCCACTCCTAAGGCAGATAATGCCCTGAAAAAAGTCCTCACAGGGTGTGGAGACTCAGTCCTGCCTATAGCTGGGTGACTAACTATGGATGAGTCATAACCCTAAAACACACAGCAGAAAAGAAAGAAGCTACACAATCCATAAGGTCACTGAGGACTTTTAAATTTAAAATAAAATAAGGGATTGCCATTTTTATGGCCAAACACTGGTAACACCCAGCCTCCACTTAACTTCCGCTTGCCTGTGGAATCCTTCTGAAGAGGAGAGACTCGGGGACAGTGACAAGCAGTTTGTACAGAGGCATAAACATGTGCAGCAAGGGGAAGGGAGAGAACTGGGGGAGAAAATGACCGGGGGAAAGCATTATTTCTGCCTACTCTGAGTGAATTACAATTTTTAAAAAGTGTGCTTGCAGTGTTCCCACTCACTGAACGCCTGGTTTGCCCATGTTTACCCCCCATCCTCCTCACCAGACGCCAGCTCCTTTTCTATTATGTACACCAAATCCCCTCTCCCTTTCAAACATCACCATCATTAAGCAATGTTCTCAATTATAATCCAAGTTCTACTGAGGACGTGACGAAAGTTCCCTGGTTCATAACTCTCCACTTTCTTGAATCAATAAAACTGAACTTTGTCATGTGCAGAGATGAAACCCAGAAACAAGCTTATCTACAATAAACAGGTTTATCTACACTTCCGATCCCAGTGTGAGTGCCATAGATACAAATTCACACTTTACACACAGAAATCTGACTTTCAAACACCAAATGTGCCCCTATTAATACTTATTCACACTTAATGTTAACTTCCACTAAATGCAAGCTACACAGATGGATATAAGGTCTAAAATTAAGACCACTATTATGTGCTGCCTTGACATCTGGTCAAACGGGGAGGGCTTTCAATGGCCTAAGCCAAGTTCCCCTCCCCATTCTGACCCCGCAGCTAAGGTCCCAAAGCCAAACAACCCTGCTCCTCACGGGCACCAGGCACCGTTCCTGCTTGTCCCTGAGCAGCAGGCTTCACTGTCCTCCAAAGAGAAGAATTATTAAAGCAAGACAATCACATCCTCCTGCAAGCACCAGGGGCACCACAACCTCTTGTTCCTGCAAAACTGCCTCCCACAATTCCTGGTCCTTCACTCTGTAGCCCCACGTGGCTCTACATGGTGCGTGGTGTCCCCAGGCTCTCCTCCCCAGGCTAAGGACTGTGTAAGTGACTGGTCCACTGCAGGACCTCTCATCTGCCCAGGGTCAGGTGTCACAGGGAGGAAATCCCACCCCTACTGACAAGGTGAAGAAGTGATTAAAACAACACATTATAACAGAATCTTACTCATTTTACCCTAAGGGCACCGAGAGTTCAATTGCTCCTAACTTTATTGTGTCTATAGATGCATTTCCTCCATTTACTTTATTATTATTATTTTTTTAATATATCTTTATTGGTTTCAGAAAGAGGAAAGGAGAGGAAGAGAGGAGATAGAAACACCAATGATGAGAGTCATTGATCGGCTGCCTCTTGCACGCCCCCGACTGGGGATCAAGCCCGCAACCCAGGCATGTGCCCTGACCAAGAATCGAACCCCGCTAGGTTGACGCTCAACCGCTGAGCCACGCCTGACCGGGCGCCTCCATTTATTTTATATAAAGTTTCATGATGCTATTTAAAGTCTATTTCTCTCTTTCCTTTTTTGACCAGTCAGCTCAACCTTATGCATGTGGCTTTGGGGAGCTGCATCTCTCCTGCCCACCTCACTGCCCAACATAGGGTCATGGCTGCCTTGAGGCCAGCATCCTCACTGTCTAGATACCCCACCCTGTCCCACCTCATCCTCTACACACTGCTCAGGAGCCTGCTCCTCACTCAAGGCCAGGTCACACTTCCTGCTGTGCTAACAAGACCTCCACAGCCTGGTCAAGTTTAATACTCGATTACTGCTCGCCTTTGAAGATACTCAGTAAGCTCCCTAATGATAATGACTCTGGTTCCTTGCACTGGCTTCCCCACAAAAGGCACTCATCTAAAGTGGCGAATGGGACTTACAAGCCTTTATAGAATTAAGGTGGTTTTGTTTGTTTACTCGTGCAACTATCTGTGTATGAAGGAAGAGAGGGAGGTGAGAGAACAGGACAGTAAGCAACATAAAATTTCAAGTTGTCAAGTTATCAAGCAGCCTCAGCCACTAAACTAAGGAAATGAATTATCTCGTCTGACTTACAGTTTGGAAACAGGACATCAGTGTGGCTGTCCTGAAAGGAACTAGTCTCGGGCCTGGTAATGCTTGGCTCCCACTCTGTCACTGAAAGTCAATCACAGCGGGAGGGCCCGAAACAGAGATGACTTTTTATTCTTAAGATCAGCCGCCAAGCAGGGCCAGGTTAAAGACAGCTAAACAACAAAACTTGCTAAGTCTCACTGAACTAGGTTCCTAAGCCAGAGCAGACGAGCTCCAGGTGGTTACTTGCTCATCTTAGCTCTCAGAGGCGCTCAGGTGGAAGGTCCTCCTCCCCAAACCCAACCCCTCCCACCCCTGGCTGGTACTGTTATTTACATGTGGCCACCTGAGCAGCTATTATGTGGCAGGCATTAAATTATAAAAATGATTGAGGCCTGGCCAGTTTAACTCAGTGGTTAGAGCGTCAGCCCACGGACCGAAGAGTCTGGGGTTTGATTCCCAGTCAAGGGCACATATTAGGGTTGCAGGTTCCATCCCAGGCCCCTGGTTGGGACATATGCAGGAGGCAACCAATTGATGTCTCTCTCTCATATCAATGTTTCTCCCTCTCTCCCCCTCCCTCCCTCCTTCCCTTCCACTCTCTCTAAAAATCAATAAATAAAATATCCTCAGGTAAGGAGTACCAAAAAATAAAAGTAAAAATAAAAAGCCGCTGACCTCAAGGATGCCACAGCTGAGAGGAATCAAAATTCTGGAAATAACCTATTCAAATTTTAAACACACTTTCAAAGACTTGGAAGTTCCAGCTTCTTCTTTCTAAATTTTAACACAATTTTCACAACTGAATTTACTAGTATTTACAGAAATACTTATATTAACTCTCATTAAATGCAAGTATGTTGAAAATGAAATAAATACACCTCAAAGAACACACAATTACGAAACTGGTCACTTAAGGAACAGGGGGAAAGGACTAGAATGCGAGCACCCTCGAGAAAAGCCTACATTCATTCGCTTTACTCAGTGACTAACAGTAGGCAACACTCCCAAAGTTAGTGAAGGTTAGAAATTATGCCAAAGGGAGTACATTTACAGCTTTAAACTTGTCACAGCACTTTTCATTTTCATAAAAGCTTGGTAAGATTTGTGGTCAGGGACCCGTGATGAGAAAACTAGCACGGAGATGTTAAGCAACTTCCCGTGCAGCTGGTGGGTAGCAGAACCAGGCCTCACTCTGAGCCTGCTGCCCTTCCCACTGGAGTCTCCATGCGGTCCCGAGGTGGCACATGAGCCCGTGGCGCTCCAACTAGGCTCCAGTGTAGGTCACCATCTCCTTGCCCAACCTGCTGCTCCTGTGTTCTGACTGTGGCTTCACCATCCTTGTCACTCAAACTGGATACAAGGGCCAAGAGTACCAGACCGCATCTACCTTTCCCAACCAGGGCCTCGCACCTCCATGTGTATCCCGACCCCTAATCCAGCTTCAACACATGCTGCTGCCTCCACAGAGCACGAATCTGCCATCCCCAGCAGGAGGCGTGCAAGAGGCAGCCAATGGATGTTGGTGTTTCTCATTGAGGTTTCTCTCTCTCCCCCTCTCCCTTCCACCTCTCTAAAAATCAATTAAAAAAACATTTAAAAGCAATACTTATAAATACTGCAGAACCTAAATCTCCAACCCTAATGACTTAGCAACGTGAGTTATAAATTAAAACCTTAACTTACAAGGAAGTTTAATATGGACTCTTTTGTTTAAAAAAACAAACAAAAAGGCTGCAGAGGTAGATGACTCATTCACTCCCATTGCCTCGTAAATAATACCCTTTATTGTCATTTAAACTTGTAAAGCCAGGCATAGCAGCTCTGGCCTAGAGAGGAGAAAATACAGAAGTAGGCAGAAAGACTTAACAGTTTCTAAGTACTTTTTAAAATTTGGTTACTAGCCTCCATGAAACAAAGATCTTTATTCGCTCATATTTCCTCTTATTACTTTATTTTTTTTAAAAAAAGTATTAACTGGGTACATGGTACATACAGAATTTCTAGTCTTGTATTAAACGAACTGAAAAAAACTAGTGACGAGATTAAAGAGACAAACACGACACTAAACGTATAGAGTTTTGGATGGAGCGGGAAGGACTCGCTGCCTCTATAAAAGTTCGGATATTAAACAGCTGTGAACAAAACCTCTCAACAGGCCCCTAAGGCTCGTCAGCGGATCTCGCGGCGGCGAAAACCTCCTTCTAAAACTCACAACGAAATGAAGCTGTTTCCGTGACCCTCACGAGC